CATTTGCAGTCACTTAACTGTTCTGCAGTACTCCTGTTTTGAAATCCCCTCAGCAACTTTTCTCGTTATTGTTCACCACAATTACTCTACACTAAACGCATGGCTCTGTTGTTTCCCATGAGTTACAAGGGTACAAGTAGGGATTGTGGTCCTCGCTTTTGGAGGATTGGTATTCTCAGTTCTGTTGAACAGATACTGTGTCAAGTATGGCTTCCTATCCTCCGGCTGAGAAGGATAAATGCACTGACAGGTGGCAAAAGGCATATTTTATGAGTGAGAAAATGAAATAAATCAAAGGAAAATGCACAATGTTTTCTTCTGTTGTCAGTGGAACAGTATGTTTTATTATGGCTGTATGCAACGGGAATATTAGTTCTGATCTGCAGAAGTGCAAATTAAACGGCTGTTTTAAATTATCATATTTCATGCACAGTAACTTTACAGGCTTTGACTTTTCTTTTTCACTGTATGTGAAACCTTTACAAGTTATTAGCCTTTTTTTGTCAACTATATTTTAGAAATGAGAGGTTTATTTCCGCTATTACATTAAAGGAGTCGTTTTGCTGCTAGAAGACTTCAGAATTTTATTCAGCTGTGATAACTTTGCCTTATACTCTATCACGAAGCACAATTAAGACAGAAATGTTCAGTAGTTTTATTACGCCCTTGTGTGAGGAGCTAAACTTTTTTTCCCCACTTAATTTTTCAGGGATCCCCAAAGGATTTTACAAACTACACATTTGTCTAGCACACTCTGTAGTGGCATAAACAAAGAATACATGGACCTCAACAGGCGCTTTGGCTTCTATACTTCTACTAATTCCACTTTCTCTTATTGCAAGTTTCAAGAGCACTGGAATTTCCTGGTTAATATTCTGGGCTTATGGGTAGATTTTACTTACATTAATTTGGGCAGTTTGTTACTTTGGTAGGTAAGCAGGGGAACAGAGGACTGGGGGTTTTTTAAATAAATGTATTTATTTCAAGGAAAATTCTCTTTACACAGAACAATGTGGGGGTTCACCTCCTGAATTACCAGTGGGAGACAATCTCTGATGAATGCCATTCAGTAAAAATGAAATGAAGCTTTTTTTTTTTTTTTTTCTTCCTATAGGAAACCAGCAAACATTCCTAAAGAAGTGATTTCATTAGTAACTTTTCAAACACTGGCGTTTTGTTTTTGTTTTCGCCTGGCTTCCCCTGGAAACACGCTGTGTGCATTTGCTGCCTTGAGTCTTGCTGTCTGGTTGTTCCCTCTAATAACCTGTGAAGCTATTTGCTGGATTCGATTGGATTTGATAGAGTAATTGAAGACTCAGAGATACAAGCAAATGAGGTGAGGACACCTAGCCCACTGCCCTGCCTTGGACAGTGGCTGTGGACCCAGGGAACATCTCCTGGCACTTTCCCAGGATTATCTCCCAGCACCTGGGGCTGGAGGCTCGCAGACATCCTCAGCCACAGCCGGGATCTTTGTGTCTCCAACCTCCTTTCCGACAGAAACAAGGCAAATCTCATTCTGCTCTGCTTGCAGGTTACACTTATAGTAGAAAAAAAGAGACCCTTTGAGTAACCCAGCTGGGGGAAAGCTGAAACATGAGCGGTCATCCCTCGCTAGACATGACCCCATAGGTTACCCGGCACGTTTTGTCCTTTGTCTCTCTATTCCTTAGGCCTAGATTCCCTTATGATAAATTGTCCTGAGTAAGGAGAAGTGAGAAGCAGACAGTCTGATATTTTCTCATTTTCTGCCTTGTCCCTCGGGCACTGGCCAAGTAAACTGCCACGGAGACTGGCCCATAAACCTCCCTTCCCCAGGACAGTCTTGTAGGAAGAAGCCAAGGAACTGAAGCGCCCACAGCGGCAGGCTTCACGCGGCTCTGTGACTGGTGGTGACAGCCACACAAAAACGTCCCCTCGGTGGTGGGCATGAGAAAAAAAGCACCCTGGTCTGATCTTGTGTGTGTCGGCAGGGAAAAAATTTTCAGAGCGTCTGCCCTGCCCCGAGGTCTGCAGCTCCCAGGCCACCCCGGGGGATGATGGAGACGGTGTCCTGTCCCGCTCGGCGGGTTACGAGGGGGGTGAATCCTTTGGATCTGGGGGACAACCTGGCACCGGGGGACAATCTGGTCGCTGCTCGGCAGAGCTGCAGGGGGGGATCGAGGCACGGCAATGACTCAGAGGAACAATTTAGCTGTTGCCTTTATTAACTGACAGTTTTAGTGAGTGAATGGAGACAGTTTGGCAACCATCAACCGATAACCTTTGGCGAAGGAATAAAGGCACTTTGGCAAAGAGACTATTTTGCTAACAACCCATCGCAATTTGTACAAAACTTACCTACCCAAATATATATGTAAAAAGGAGAGAGAGAGACAAAAGAGAAAAGGGGGGGAATAGGAAGAGGGGAATCACCACCCTTTGGATCCCACATTGTCGTAGAGTAGCAAGCTTGATCCCTAGGAGGCGGGCCAACAGAAACACAGGCAGGGGTTGGTATCTTTATGTAGTCTTCTTTCCACCTGCACAATAGGGTGTTCCAGAAGGTTCTCGCTTTCGTTGGCTTTTCCCCGGCGCAGCTGGGCAACTTCTGTCTCTGGGTAGCAACAGGAGGGAGAGAGAAGTGGCCCACCATCCCGTCCCGGCAGAGCTCACCCGCCTCTCCCCCCGCCACCCGGCTCCCTCTCGAGCTGTTTGAGACATTCTCTTTACGAACAGTTCATGACAGATGGTTCTCTCCTGGCTCTCTCAGCCCAGGGGACTTTGGACTAGGCACGCAGTGACTCGCTGCTCCGATAGCACTTCTAGTCCCGGTATCTTCCTAAGGCGCCTAAAATTTTCCTTTAGAATCACCAGAATCAAGCAGCTTAATGGTGCCCCAAAGTGTCACTGTCAACACCAGCTGCACTTGCCACGGGGACTCTTGGTCCCCATTATTTTTTGCCGTGATCTTCTCGTGATGATTGAACGTTATAATTTCTGGGATCCCTACAGGCGACCATTAAAATGCTCCTAAGTTGGTATTGATGATTGGTTTCCCTTGAATAAGCAGAGTATTTCTCAGCAGATAAGTACACTTTTTTTTTGCCTTGAAGAATGGAAGAAATGAAATGTACACTGAACTTCTTTCCCAGGGGCTGTTTCTATTTCGATACACAAGGATGATTTATACAAGGAAATGTAACATTCCTGATCACATGCAGCATTTAAGAAAAAAGTCAGACTCTTCCAATTTGAAAAGGACAAAATAACATAGGAGATGGGGGACTATTTTTATGTTGATTTTGACTTCTGAGTCATCAAGTTAGGAGAAAGCCCTGTGGCAACACTACTCACCCTATACGGGGAGTGAAAATAAACTGAAAATAAATGCGAACTGAAAAGGAAAGACGGCATCTCCACAGGGCCCTTTCCCTCTCCGCACTAATCATTAAGTAGCCAGGAAGATGCATGGTGGGGTCAAACGGCTTCCAAAAAGGCACCCGGTGAAAGTATTCCAAGTGCCTGTTATCAGGAAGGTGTGGAAGTCCCTCCTGGCCTGGGAGGGGGCTGGTGTTGAGGAGCCCATGCTCTGGCTTGTGCTTTGGGTGGCAGCATCGCGGAGTCCCGTGGCTCGGGCTCAGCCCAGGGACCTCAGCGCTCACCGGGAGATCCGCGCGCCAGCTGGAAGGCCGTAGGTGAGAATGGGTGACCGCTGTGGCGCGGCCTCGGCGGCCACAGGCAACGCCAAACCTGCCTCAAGGCTTTGCGGAGGGCAGGAAAAGACAGAAGGCAGTGACACTGGAGATAACCGAAATCCTCGCTGAGGTCCCGAGCCAGACACTGGTCTGGGAACAACTGTGGAAAGAGTGGCTTTCTCCGCTGGAGGAAGGAGCTTCACTGGGCTGTAGCAAAGAAGAAAAGCCAAGCTGTCCTGGCGTGCCTCAGCCTCTTCCTCCCGTGTCTCTTCCAGCACCAGTGGAGAGCATCAGTCTTCCCAAAGTGTCTCCCCAACTCTCTTCGTTGACTAGACAGAGGAGATGGTTTCCCTGTTTAAACCCCTGATTAAGTGCAACGAATGAAAGCCTTAGTCTCATCCTTTGTTTCACTGCTGAACTTCCCCAACTAAAACTTCCCAGGCTTCCAGCTTTGGACTTCAAAACACACTAGCAAAATTCCTTTTTTTCTCTCTGAAATTATCTCCCTTTCTTGCTGCAGAATCAGCTCTAGTTGGGATTTTACCCCGTCCCGCGTTTGCTGCTGCCCTGTGTTTTGCATCTAACACCTTCCCTAGGAGCTGTTGCTACCTCCTCACACGGAGCTGACAGCTCATGGAAGTGCCAAGCCATCGGTGGGGGAAGCTGGACCTCTTTTTTGATCCATGGCTTTCAGTGCTGATATTTCTCACCATTTTATCAAAAAGTTCTAATACTATTTGGTGGCCTTCCCACGGTGCCATGCCCTGCAGCTGGTCTCCTGGAACCTGACGTTGTGTGTGAAAGATGTGACTTAAAGAGCCAAAACAGAAAAGCAAAGGCTTCGACTGCGCTGTATTTTATATATTAAAATGCTTCCACACCTGTAATTAGACCTGTGATACCAAATTGTCACCTGCTGATGGGAAGGCAACCTAGCAAGTAACCACAACAGACCTCTGCCAGGGTGACACAAGACATATAAACTACCCAACAGTTAAGGTTAAATATGTGGCAGTTTGCAAAGAGCTCTGTCAACTGTATCAATAGGAAGGGGGCGAAACTGCATGAAGAACAAACCCCAAGTACTTAACGCTCAGTACTGATTTCTGGATAATTTTTTTTTTTTTTTCTAAAATAGAAGACTGCAATTTTTTTTTTTTTTTTTTTTTTCCTCCAGCACAGTTATAGATGTGTGGGGCCCTTTGGTTCCCCCTGCTGACACCCTGAAACGACGCAGGGTGGGCTGTGGCTCCAGGCTGCCGTGGGAGTGGGGGAAACTAATGAGAATGGGCTCTGCCGGCAATCGCTCCTGCATCCCACAGCTCCCACGGTGCTGCCGCTGAGAGGCGTGTGAGCGGGCAGCCAGACAGAATAAAAACAACTGAGCCCCCCCCCGCGAACCTCACTGCCCGCTGGCAGGGTCCCGGGGAGCCGAGCACGGCTCTGGGGTCCCACTGGAGAGGACTCTCCGAGTGGAGACTTCTCACTGAAGGCTGGATTTTGCAGTTCCTCTGCCCGGTCTCCCACCCACGCAGGTGAACGGATTTGGCACCCACGGCACTCTCAGGTAAAGAGGGATTTGCTGGGAAGCGGGTGATGTGCTGCGATAAAGGGCAGCGTGGGGCTTCGTGGTTTGGTAGGAAGAAATCGGCTCTGGAGGCGGACTTGGCTCTGAGTTATTTCAGAAAAATAAAAAGAAATCATTTCCTCTAGCCGTCTTTAGAGAAAAGACCTTTCTGCGGAGGGGCTCGCTGGCCCGGGCGCACCCGCCGTGTCCCAGCAGGACACCCCAGCAGTGGGGGGCCGCTGAGAGAGAACCGGGGTCTGAGGAAGTCCCGGTGACTCCCCACGCCGCGTTCACCAGCGTGGACTGGGGCACCTGAAGCTGGGAGAGGGCAGAGCTCAGTTTGAGAAGACTGAAGGCTGGAGGACAAGCGCGGCGGTGGCTCTTGTTTGGGCTGATGTGTGGTGCTGCCTTTTGGCTTCGCTGCGGGTCAGGGACGAGCCAGTCAGTCAGTGCTCCTCTTCTTTCGACTCACGTTACCTAAACGTTTAGGGGGAGAGCAATGGCCAGGGAAAAAAAAAAAAAAAAAAAAAAGTTCAAAGCTAAAACTGGATGAAATAACAAACGAACCGGGATGCAGGGTTTGTGCTGCAAACAGATCACCGGTGCTTGGCGGGGACAAGGAGCTGAGTTACGCCAAGAAGGCAGCGGGGCACAGCGTGGGTGGCAGGAGGGCAGCAGATGTGGGGAGGGCACTGAGTGGGCAAGTGCTGGACAGGCCGGGGGAGGCACAGGGATGCCGCGGCTTTGCTGTGGCTGGGCTGCAACCTGCCACCCCGAAAAGCACCTCTGTGGAGAGGCCCCAGCCTGCTGCAAGGAGCTCAGAATCTTGCTCCCCCGCCGCCTTTGCTGGCCCTCGTAACACAAGAGCAGCTCCTCTCACCTCAGGGGAATGACCCCGGGGAAAGAGTAATGGGAGGACGTCCAGAAGTTGGTTTTGGTCTTTAGATTTTTTTTTTTTTTTTTTTTTTTTTTTTTCCCTAGTTGTGGCTGAGTTTTCCATTTTGCATGTGACTCTCCCAACTCACCAGCAAAGCGGGAGCGGGCAGGGTGCAGCAGGACACCCACGCTGCCTTTGCATGCCACCAGCCTTCGTGCTGCATTCCCGTGAGTTGCAGCGATCGCTTCCCCGTTTCAGCTGGGGAACAAAACTCTTCCCCGGCTGCCTGGCTGCTGAATTGCGCTTTAGCACCCTCATGCATCGGCACACAGGAAAATACTCACCTCTAACACCCACAGCAGCTCCTGGGGAGGAGCTGGGGGAAAGGGGCAACACCTATTTACCCAGCAAACATAATGATTTCTCTGAGGGATTTCTCAGCCCTGTAGGAGTCAAAGCCGATGCCTGAGGGAGGACTGAAACCACCGCCCGGTGCTTCTGTGTGCTGTGTCCTTGTGTGAACACTTGTGAGTCCTTGTTTTGTGCGCAGCCATCACGAATCTGCTTTCTTTATCTCACCCGTTAAAACTGCACACACAGAGCTCTGATTCACAGTCGTTTCTGGGCTCCATCACTAGATGGTGACACGCTCCCAAATACTGAGTCCTCCTTCAGTTTGTCTTTTTTCCTTTAGTGTAAAATAACAGCAAATTTAGACAAAACGTGTGTTTTACCCTCTGCTTATGGAAATACAGCATTCCCAGCCACATGCAATTCTGCTTAAGATAATTTGGTGTTCAACCAATTTTTAATATGACATCGGTTTTGTTAACAGGGTCTCTGTAAGAACTACCGCTATAAAAGTTATTCTAGCCACGAACACTTATATAAAGACTAATATTACTGATCTCTGCATAATTTGGAACGTATTTGTCAGCAGCCAGCGGCAAAATGAATGCACATTTGTGCACTTTCTAGGAACAGATCTGCACCAAAAGTTTTAAAGTTTAAAATTAATGTGTCGTTGGGTTGTGGAAACTACTAGTTTCCCTTCCTCCTGCCTGTTTTCCCTGAGCATGCAACGGTGCTCATTTCCTTCCTTAAAATGTTGGTCAATCGTTTCAGCCCAAAGGCACCGGATTTGCTCTTCTGAAGGAGGTTTGGTGGCCGGGACGAGGAGCGTGCACTCCCTGGGGGTCAGGCACTCACATGTCGTCTCCATTCCAGTCCATTGCTCGGTCTTGATGGAAATGCCCACTGGGATTTGCAAGGCTTATTACAGCAGTAACACCCACCAAATGAGGCTTGTGGCATAGCATGAAGATGCGGGCTGGAGCGGGAGAGCTAAAATTCATGGGACACCCGATGTGATGATGCACAGTAGAAACCTGGACAGGTGTATGTTGGTGGCTGGCTGCCACACGCAAGTGTTCCAGCATGGGCTACTGACCTGATGAGAGGTCTGCAAAAGCCTCAGTCCCTGCTACTTGCTCGGCTGCTCACGAACAGGTAAAGCCAGGAAATGGCTCTTCCACTGCAGTCACTGCCAGGAAATAGAAACTGCAAGGCCAAGGTGAGAAGAGCCAGCCCCAGCCCGTTCCCCACGGCAGCAGAGGATGCTGTGCTGCTGCAGCTCACGGGTCTCTGGGCTTGCGGGAGAAATCAGCCTGCCAGGAGACAGCCAGCTCTGCTCAGCCCCGTTTGGTAGGGCTCAGACAGGCTGAGGAGGGGGGGGGGATGGCCACATATTGGCTGGGTGGTACAAATCTGTATCTTCAACAGAGCTCTGGGGCCCTGTGGCCCCCAGTAGGCACTGGGCCAGGTTGGGACCAGCATTGTCTGATGAGAAATCCCCCCGGGGCGGGTTTCACATCAGCTGAGAACAGAATGAGGCTCAGCCTAAAATATTGCTCTTGAATCATTAGGAAATGCAAAGAGGCTAATTTGAGGTACGTGCGGAAATGCAGCTTCCCCCCCGCCGGCCTCCTCCGTGCACACCTCCATCGAGCACACCGCTGGTGCTGGTGGCAGACCTGTGGTGACACTGGCCAGGGGCTGAGGCTGGGAACGTGTGTGTGTGTGTGTGTGTGTGTGTTCGATGCCTAGCTGCTTGCTCATCCCTCACCCCACCTTGTAAAAACCCTTCTTGACAAAGAGCTACTTTCTAATCCAGCTACTTTTTTTTATCAAAGGCATCCTGTTCTGGGCTCCCTGTGGTTTGCAGTTTTTATTCTATATTCCTCTTCAGAATCCTTCCCGATCTTAAAGCTATTTTCGTCCTCTCTCCTCCTCTTTCCTGTAATTTATTTTCGCTCACTAAATAATTTTTGCAGTGGTCTGTGTAGTGAACCTTGCCCGTTTCACTGAGTTTTCTCACTGCAGTTAAATACACTTTGTCCTGCCCCAACCCCAATCAAAGTCAAGATAGAACCTTTTATAGATCTTAGGAAGACAGCATTAATACTTCTCCCCCAGCTTTCCCGTGACCCCAAAGCTCTACCATCATCAGCAGGCAAGCCCAAAGGTGCCTGAAGGCAAACTTGACTCTAGATATGCCACACTGATGGCTGGTGTCTGGATTTGTGGATGCTTTGAGTTTTTTAAGGGTAGTGAAAGCTTCCTGAGGGATGTGAGTGACTCTGAGTCAAGATATTTCACAGAATCATAGAACGTTCTGGGTTGGAAGGGACCTTAAAGACCATCTAGTTCCAACCCTCCTGCCGTGGGCAGGGACTCCTTCCACTACATCAGGTTGCTCAAGGTCCCATATTTAGTAAGTTAAGGGACACTTCACATAACTGTATTCATTTCTGTATCCCCACAGACACCCCAAAAGGCTCTTCACAATGACTGCCGGCCTGGAGAAAGCCTGCCACCGGTGCATATCTAAAATTGCCAGCAATGGTAAGGCAGTTCTGGAGATAACCACTTCTGTGTTTGAGCAGCCCTGTCGCTAAGCCAGGTGTATCAAGGAATTAAGATGATGCCAAGTAGTCCCAACTGAATTTTCTATGGAAGTTTCCTTTCCTTCCCTCCTTTCTGAGGTGTTCCCTGCCCTAGGCAATTTTGGGCGCCGGCGGAGCGCACCATAGTAGCTCCACCCTGACGGTGCCTGCCTGCCGCAGTATTTGGATGAAAGCAGAGCAGTGTCCCATTTCGAACAAATACAACCCCCACCAAGTATCTAAATACGGGTCGCAGCAGGCAAGCTAAGCAATATGATGTGTTTGTCTCCTGTTCCAAGGGGTACTTCACGTGCCGTCCGGCAGAAGTACCCGCAGGAAAAACCACCGCTGCCAGCCTGCGGTGCTGGCACGGGGACAAGAAGGCTGGCGACAGAGCGTGGTCAGGAATTTCCCCCCCCCCCCCTTTCACTCAGAGATGTACGGAGCACGGGCCTTCTTCCCTCCGGCCGCTGCAGACGCGGGCAGCCCCCATCAGCGCCCGCGCACGGCGGGCAGGGACCATCGGGTACCCGAACGGAGGCGTTTCGCACGCCAGCTTGCTCTCGCTCAGCATTTAAAGCAACTGGCTTGTCCCGCCAAGGGTGGAGGACGCAGAGGGGGGTAGGGAGACGACAGCTCCCTGCCTGGGCGAGCAGGCTGGTTCTTGCTCTCCGAGGAGCGACGCGGAAGAAAACTGAGCCGGGCTGGGGGCACGTCCAGGCTGTGCGGAGAGGCACGGGAGAAACACGCGTCCGGGTGGGGGGTTTGGAAGACCAGGGGATCGGTGCCGTTGGCAGGAGGTTAAAAGCCAAGGGGTTTAAAGCGGCTCACCCCCCCTGACTGAATCTCCTCTTCACCCCAAGCTGCAAGTGCCTTTCGCTTTCACTTCGAGGCGGTAGCCATTTCTGTTTGCACTCATATGCAAGAAAACCCCTTGGCCGCTCGTCAGAATTGGTCCTTCACCCACACTAATTGCTGCATTTGCCAGCCCAGGGCTGTTACCTTGGGGTCTTTTATATTCCTGCTTTTGCCTTCACTTGAAAGGCTCTCAAAGTTCGGGATGAACTTTCATTAATGATTAAGCCCCTTAACTCCTTGACGCCTTACAACCCTTCGGAGAAAACCAAGCCAGGGGGACAGCCCGCCCTGGCCTGGGTTCAAGCCAGGCTCCCCCCCAGGAACCTGGCACGGGCAGGGAAGGAGAGAACGTTTTCTGGCCCGCTTGTTTGTCCTCCCCGTTGCCCCCGGGGGGAAGGAGGGCTGGGAAGTGCTGCGGAGTGATGTGCCCCAGGGCCCCGGAGCGTGTGGTGCTCTCACTGCACCCCAGCAACACGCCCCCCCCCCCCCCCGATGCGGAGCTGGGCCGGCTTGGGCTCCCTCGCAGCCCGCAGAGAGGGCGTGCAGCGGGGGGCCCGGGCTCGCTGCTGAAGATCACGATAAAAAAAGGCAAAAGTGGAGTTTTCTCCGATTTTTGTTCCTACTGGTTACAAGCAAAATGTCGCTGTTCCCTGTTGGTATTAAATTGCCACCGGGACTTTAACGACGACAGAGAAAATAAACGATCTTTTTGAAATTTTTTTGAAAGAAAGGGATTAGTTCTGATCTCATCTATGCTCTCTTACATCAACAGCACCCTCTCGGGTACTCACAAAGTTACCCATGAGTAAGGCAACTCAGAAATACCATTACAGGAAACTCATTCTCTTCAGGTTTTCATTACATTTAAGTTCAAAATAAGCTCAGCTTTAGCTATGGATCAGCTAGTGCATCCAAAATTGATTTTCTGTTCATTAAAATGCAAACCCTCCTGAAGTGCAGTGACAGTTAATTCCACTTTTTCTCATCATCCTGCGTATATTTTTCAAAGAGCATTTCAGCACAACCCCACACCTGCACCTAAGGTCTCCTGATATTTAAATGACTCCGAAGAGTCAACCTACCTGTGCAGCATCATCTAAATTCTTTTCATTCTTGGTACAGTGATTTAAGTTCAGAACATTAGGGCAGTCTTTAATTAACTGAGCAAAAAAAAAAAAAAAAAAAAAAAAAAGAAGGCTAATCCAATCCACTACCTTGGGTTTATTGCAAAGCAAACTGGTGGCTCTTTATGTCAGGCCTAAATCTTGTTTTAAAATTACATCTGGAAATGAATCACAAGGGGCCAAATCCAGAGCCCAGACCATGGCATGGGGAGAGGCATTCAGGCACGCCACTCTGCAACACTGCCCAACTCCCTAAGCACCTACCTCTACATCTGCATTTACATCTGCATTTACATCTGCATCTACATCTGCATCTACATCTGCAACTACATCCTCCCCGTACTGAAGGTTCCCAGATTACTGGCACCTCCTTATTCTACACTTCTGATGAGAGCAGCATTGCTGGTGTCAGTGTTAGGACCTGGAACTCAAGTTTTAGATGGTGTGATGCTGGCATAGCTTAACTGGGTACCAAAGTACTATTTCACAGCAACACAGCCGTGCCTAAGCAAACAGTGGCGGCATGCAGCAAACAGCTGGTGGCTCCGAGCTTGGATTTGTTCTGCAGCTCAGTCTTCTCACGCTTTCCCTGCCTCCTACGGTGGCTTTGCACTGGGACGGCAGACCTCCATGGGAATGGCTGCTCCCTGCACTGAATCCTCCAGCTGCTGAGTATCTAGTTTGGTCAAGGGATTAAATCACCCCGGGGTGGGATTCCTGACATTCGTCACAAGAATTTATTCCATCAATATAGCTCCTTGCTATGGCACTTAGCCTCCCGGACAGAGCCATCTTTGTTTCTGCTCAAGTTCATCTCATGTCTCTACCTTCGTAGCTCTTTGGGTCACTCACAGGTCCTTTTTTGAGTGCTCAAACCTTGCTGTTATTTTCTCTCTTTTGGCCATTGGCTAGCCAAGCTGAACAGATTTAATTATTTTCCTTCAAAGTTAATTCGCTCAAGTTTTTTTTTTTGCATATCTCATCTGATATAGTGACGTTTTCCTGTCACTCAGAAGCCCAGAAAGACACACGGTATCCACAGCTACCAAACCCATGGGTGAGGAGACTGACGACACGCACTCCGATGTCAAGATCAAAGACCCTTTATTATTCAGAAAGCTGCGTTTTTATCCCCCTACCAAGTTGTCAGTCCCCCCAACATAAGTGCTTATTGGTTAACACACATTACTCACACACCTATTCTAACATTTCATTGGCTAGCTTAACTACGCATGTCTTTTTTTTTCCCTTTGTCACAATAACTTTTTTGCTTCGGGCGTTCTTCCTAAGTCCTCTGTTGTTCACTGATAACGCTCTTATGTTTCTGTTATTCCAAAACCTTATTCTTCTGTTATTCCCAAACCTTCAAGGTCTGTTGTGACCTTATTTTTCTGTTATTCAGGGTCTGTTGCTACCTTATTTTTCTGTTATTCAGAAACCCTATTTTTCTGATATTCACAAACCTTCAAGGTCTGTTGTGACCTTATTTTTCTGTTATTCAGGGTCTGTTGCTACCTTATTTTTCTGTTATTCAGAAACCCTATTTTTCTGTTATTCCCAAACCTTCAAGGTCTGTTGTGACCTTATTTTTCTGTTATTCAAAGCCCTTATTTTTCTGCTATTCCAAAGCCTTCAAGAGCATCATGGCCTTCGTTGATGTAAAATGTCTCCACACATGGGCAGACTCATCCCTGGGCCATAAAACTTGAGCTGGTTTCCCAGTAAGATCCACCAAGATTCGCTTTGCCACCGCAGCACCCCCACACGCTGCACCCTTCCTTTTCTCCACGTCCCTTTCAGTACTGCAGGGGATGTGTGAAGATGCTGGGGAGGTATAAAATGTGGGTGAAATTATCCACCCCTTACACGGCCAGTGTCCGTGCACACCGTGACACCGCGTGCTAAGCATCTGCCTCAGGGCACGATCAGTCCCGGGGCTGGACGGACTGACCCGAATTTGCTCACACCCAGCCTGCTGGGAGTCAGCTCCCCTCAGAGCAGTGTTCCCCCCGGGGTGTCCGAAGGGACTCCTGTGAGTTTACACCCGCAGTTTTGCTCCTCAGCTTGCTCATGCAGACAAATCCCGGGCTAACTGCAGAATCTGTTCGGAAGCTGGCAGCATCTCATTTTAAAAAAATCATAAATTCCTTTTTTATCAGGAACCCGACAGGCTATAGAACAAACAGCATTTGGGAGTGATGGTAATGTACACAACACCTCATTTATTACTGTATTTATTATCAGAGAGCTTGTCACACACTCTACTGGGTAGGTTGCACTACAGCCGTATCAGCATACTACCTAAGAAGAGGGGGTAGGTTGAAATTTATACTCATAAATCACTGCTGAAAACCCCATGAGGATTCTTCTTACCTGAAAAGAAAGAAACTCCTCTGTGTCTTCGAGGTAAACAGGGACAGCCTGGGCGGATCTGAAACTTCCAAGCGCTTGGAGAAATCATGGCAGCAAAATAAAATCTGAGGAGCCCGCGGGTGGATTGGCGTCACGTCCAACACTGCCTCCAGAGCCGTGCCCCCCCACCCGAGGACAACTCACCACGGGGCACACAACGGCCAGGCACACGACGGGGGGCTGGAGGGCAAGGGGGGAGCAGAGGGAGGGGGGGAGAGCTGCGGCGCCGGGGCATGGCTGCGGGGGGGTGGAAGGCCGCAGGCGTCAGCGGAGAGGCCGTGACATCGATCGTGCTAACGGCGATTGCAAGTTCATTCGCTTCTGCGAGGAGACCCTCGCAAGGAGCAGCTCAGCCAGGCAGCAGGTTTAGATCGGCGGCCCGTCCCGCCGGGCAGAAGACGCAAAACCTGCACCCACCGCTCCGATTTTTTTCGCGCCCGTAAATTTCAGGGAATGTAGAAGGTATACAGCCACTTGCTCTCCTCTTCCTCTGTTGCGATCCCGGTGTTTTGCCGATTGACGGGGTTAACACAAAGGACACAGACACCAAGCTAAAGAAATAGGCTTATTTTACTTTAGTAGAAATAGAAATTTTACTAGAGTAGAAATAGCAGAAAGAATAAGCAAGGTAATGCACCTAGACATTACTATTTAAAGCTGGCTATAGTGATTAAGAAAGATCCATCACCAGTTGCCCTCCTCCTTTACCATCATCCAGACCCGTGCATCAGCCGGGGAGCCCCGTCCCAGCGAAGGGTCGCAGAGCCTTTCCCAGAAATTGGGAATTCCCACGCAGGGCGCCCGCTCGTAGGGGAGGTCTCTGTGCTGGGAGGGGGCCCGGCTTTTATACAGTTTAACAAACAAGTCTAAACAAAACGCACAGGAGATCTCTGGTAGATTGATGTGCCTCAGTCAGGTGTGTCCGGATCTGGCAGGATCCGGGCATGTCTGAGGAGTTTCTGTTTTGCTTTACATTTGGGATTTATAGTTACTTCCAATTGTTTACTTATAGTTCCCAGGGGTTGTTCCCAGGGTTGCATTTTCACGCTGATAAGACACTGGTTGCTTCAGTCTGCTGATGAGATGCTGGTTGCTGGTTGGGGAATTCACTCAGGAGTCAACTTTGGTTTGAGGCCGATTGTTTGGGCCCCTTTTTGTTCCACCCGGGCGCGAGCTCGCCCCTTCACCCCCGGCGCGCGAGGACTCTGGCGCTACCGCCTCCCAGAGCAGGGCCCCACCGGCGCCCCCCGCCCGGCTGGTGCAGGGGGGGGGCCCCGTCTGCCTCACGCCCTGACACCAGCGTCACCGAGCAGATGTCCTCCTGAGCCACATCCAGAGACACCACCCTCATCCTGCTGTGGTTTGTTTTTTTTTTGTTGTTTTTTTTTTTTTTTTATTAGAGACTACCAGCCCTTATTTATTCCTTTTTCCAGGAATGGGTCCGGGCGCTTCTCTGACTAGTGAGGTGATATCACTGCCTTAAAAATCCCACAAGTCCCAGCCGTGAAACTGCACAGATAGCGGCACCCCCTCCGCTAGAGCTGTGCTACCCTGCGGCCCGGACCATCCTCTTGAGCAATTTGTCTTCGGACCAGAACGGGGCAGCACAACCCAGACAAATCCAGGCAGAGCGTGTGCGTGTCCCAGCTGAACAGCATTTCTGTGAAAACCCCACGCCTTTCGGGGAAAACAGTCCTCAGTGCTGCTAGCGGCATTGCGAGCGGCCGCGGAGCCCTGCCAGTTGTGTAGAGAATTGTTGAGAGTCTCACTTTGTTAAACAGGGACCTGGAAGCCTTCCCAGACCGCGCATCTGCCCCTCCAATTCGAGCCCTAAGAGGCTGGAGCTGAACGGGGAGATAATGAGTAAATACATTCCCAGCGACTGCTTTGGGAGGGGAATCAGTGAACCGTTACCTTCTTCTCTTGAGCTCCCAGTGGTCCCTATCTCCCATTTCTCCCCTCCAAAATCAGGTAGAAGCGGGACACAAGCAAACACGGCCGCCTGTGTGCCAATATGCGCAGCCCCACATACACACAGGGCCCCCCCCCCCCCCCCCCCATGAGCCTGATACATGAGCTGCCCAGGCCATGGGCGTTATTTTCGGGTGACGTTCACGGGCATGCTGGAAGCCCAACTCCGCTACAGTACCACCGCTTCCAAATATGAAAATAATAGTCTAGATAACGTAACAACTTAGCACGAAATGTGACATGTGGTGAAAAGGGAGGCTCTAGGCTGAGTGGTTCCAATGAGAGACTGTCAGCATTTGAAAGAGCTTACTCGAGTGTAGGACACTATTCAAGCAGGGGAAGAGTTTCTCTACTGTACAGCGTTCAAGAGACAGGAGAGCCTGAGCAAAAATGTGTGTGAGAGAGAGAGACCGGCCAACAGGGAGAGGAGGAGGGGGTGGCACAAAGGAACAGAAGTGCTTTCTTCAGCTCAAAATATCTTCAGTCTCTACCAATTCACAGAGATAACAAACATGCTACTTCTGAGAAAGAAAGATGTCTCTCAAGCGCCGAAGTGCAAGGTCCTCGTTCTCTGCGGAGAAAACACAAGCAGCGTGTGGGGGACGGTGCGTTCCCAGGAAAAGGGTCTGCAAGTCAGAAAGCCTGGGGGATTTGCCCGGAATTTTGATGCCGCTCCTCTGTCCCCTGTCTCGGTTTCTCCTTCTGTAAAACGGAGGCAATGACGTTTCCCTTTTTGCCCCAAGGCACCCTGAGGGTGATGGTCTGGCAGCGCTTTAGAGCTGCTTGGGGTGGCACTGTACACCGGGGGCTGGCAGTGCCCCTGCTCCTGCGTGGCGAGGAGGGTGCCACTCGCCTTGCAGAGGCTGCAGCTCCCCGGCACGGGGAACTCTGTGACACAGCTTGCCTGGGGAAGGGCTGGTCCCAAACCAGCCCCAAACGCTTGCTCCAAGATTTTTTTCATGAGCCCCCAAGGAGACATCCTACTCTTTCTCCTTACCCATGCCCTTCTCAGCCCCTCTGCGATCGATGCCCCCCTCCACTCACCGCCCTTTTGCCTCCTTAGGCATCTGCTTGCAGATGGAGCCATTTGCAGAAGCGCTCTGCAGGGACACTCGCCACAGAATGTCCTCATTATGCTCTACTCTCCTTTTGCAGGGCAGCATTTCCCTTTAATATTGCCAAGTGTTCTCGATTAGGCTCAGAGGGGACAGCTCTTGTAAGACAGGCTGCTCGCACTGTTCTTGACGCTCTTGTTTTTCACTTTCTGCCAAGGTAAGCATTCGTCCTCTGCAGCATTAGGCTGTGCTGGGAAAATACCAGGGCTCAGATGCACCAGCAGCTCTCTGGAGAGTAACTAAGCACCTCAGATCCACTCATCTGCAGGAGCAGTGTATGTGCACCCCTAAGAGCATCCTTCCAGGCAGCTCAAGCTGCTCTAATCCCGATGACAAGTCCCGCTCCTTGCAGCGGGGCCGCTGCCTTCGTGTTCACGAGCCGAGTTGGGTCAGGTTGTTGGACCAGCCAGAAACCACTCACATCTGCAACAGAGACAGTTTATTTAGCTGTCGGTGAAAACGAACTGGAATGGCATTAAAGCCGCTATTTGTTTAGCAGATACGGCTCATCAGTTGCCCTGGATTAGCTGATGCAAAGTTACTTGTTACTGCACAGTCACCTGGCAGTGCCTCTGAAGCTGATGCAGGCTAAGACAGCAGTGGCTAAGTCCTTGCTCTTGCAATAAGACAGCTGGAAGTAGTAGCAACAAAAGCAGTTTGTGTCTCTTACTGCTTTTCCACCGATACAAGGATTAACAGTGTGTAAGTTTAAAAATGGAAGCTTGAGCTCGGGCAGAGTGAGAAACCGCTTGATGGTCCCACCACCTCAAATGTGGCACCATAAACGCGATGTTCCCACGCCAGCGAGGGCACCGCGTTTCTCCCTGCACAACTTTATGGATAAACAGCACCCCTAAAGCATCGGATGGAATTGCTGGTCTCTAAACTTAATAACCCTGCTTTTCTTTTCTCATCCACAGCGTGCTTTATATTTGGGCTCCTCGCTTTCCTTGCCTTACCACTATCCATGACTTTCATAGGTAAGTTGACTACTAACGCATTTTAAAAACAAGAACTTCCCAAGGCTGCGTGGCAGGTTAACACAACTGGGGGAAGAAAGGAGTTGGAAAACGTGAAGCTTCCAACTGTTACACCTGTGTGTTGGTACTTTAGCTTCAGGCAGAATTCCAGCCCACAGTGTGTGGTGAGGAGGAAGCAGTGCTTGAATTCTGACCCTCTTTGTCTTAAATAGCCCCGCAGCGTGTCTGACCTCAGCGCAGGGCTCTGTCTGTGGGAGGAAGCTCACAGTCTGACGCATGAAAAGATTTCATTAATCAGGATCCCTCCGTATTAACTGCACCACAAAAATCTTGGAAGCGTAGGGCTGGAAGGGAAGAAGAGATGATCTAGGCTGCTATTCCTCCACCTTTTTGAAAGTGAGACCTGGTTTTGTCTGATCTGTCGCTGTATCACCTCCCAAAGGCTGGATTTGTGAGTAGCATTTCAAGATCAAATATTTAAGAAAGGAAAGGAAAATCCTTTGAGCTGCAGAATTTTATACATTTTTAAACTGCATAAGGCTCTTCTTTTCTTAGGCATCACGTTTTCCTTACCATTAATATAGATTTTTTATTATTTTTTTTTTTTTAACTGAGAACTTTCTAACACTTCACTGCTCCCTTTGGGCCTTTCATATCCTCCACATGGGTTGCGACCTCCACTTGAGAAACATTGGTAGAGACACCAGCCCACCTCTGCTTTCAGACAGGCTCACATGCTCATGGCATCCCTGACAGATGTCTGACTTGCCCTTGCTCAAGGAAATTCCACGGCTTCCCAAGGAGCCTATTTCAGCATTTTATTGCTCTCGCAGACAAAATATTTTCCCCCATATCCAACCTAAATCTCCCCTATGGCAAATTAAACAGATTACAGCCTGTCCTACCCACTGTGGTCACAAAGACAGATTGGTCACCGTCCTACTGAACAGAACCTTTGAACTGTTTGAAAGTTGCTATTATAACCCCGCTCCATCTTCTCTTTTTTTTTTTTTTTCAGAGATCTCAAAACCCTAATTCTTTCATCCTGACCTCACAGGTCACCGTTTCTGTAGCTTTTTTTTATTTGCATTTTTGCCTCCCTCCTCTGGCCTCTGGCCAATGTAACTATTTTTTTTTCCCCTCAAAAAAGAAAAAACAAAACCAAAAAAACAAACAAAGATGGAACACAGGACTCCAGCTGAGACCTGTGGAATGAGCAGTGCAGAATAATTAGCTCTTCTGTTTAACATGCAGGATTCCTGTAAACACACCTCAAAATGAAAGATGCTCTCTCTGCACCAACTCATTGGTTCCAATTTAGTTTATGGTGCATTGCATGCCCAGATGGTTTTTGGCAGCACCGCTCCCCATCAGACATTTCCCATTTTTTAATTTACTTTGAAGTTTTCTCTCCGATACGTAGCGTTCAGTTTTACCTGCTGTCATCCCCGAGATTTCGGGTGTCTTTTTCCAGCGTATCCGGATCACTTTGAATTTTACAGGCCTGCCCCCAAGAGCCCTTAGGCCCATTCCAGATGGGTGTCCTGGAGAAGCCGCTCACCCTCTGCCCCGTTATTCACGAACGGTGCTGCAAGCGGATGCTACAGGCAGACGCTGCGGGCAGGATGCGTCCCACCCAGACTGTGCGCCCGCTGCATCGCCCACAAGCGAAGTGCTGCGTGTTGCTGCCCGTGCCGGCGGTGAAGGGAAGCGGGTGTCTCGGGCTCTGGAAGCCCCACACCCAATTTTGGGGTGTCTCCATCGAGATGAGACGACTGTTGAGGGAGCCGGGACACCTCGCCCGTTGGCATGTGCAGTTGGCCAAACCCACAAAAGTTCAGCTAAAGGCTTGTGCTGCTTCCTTTACCTGGGGCCTTCCGAGTACCGGTGATGACTCTGGCAGGATTCTGATTAGGAAGGACGTCCTAATTAGGAATTAGGGAGTTCTAACGAGGGATTAAAGAGCAATTAGGAAGTAGGGAAATGGATTGAACTGTTACATCTGAACACGTAGGCTCTTATGCTTATCCATGACTTAAAATTGCTATTTATCCTTTAAGAGGATTTCAGCTTTCGCTTTTCCCCAGGCTGACTATGTCTGTGGAACAGGGGTGGGAAGGTATAATTCAAAGTGTGGTACAGCTTGCGTGCATATTGACAGCGAGCCTTCTGGAAATGAATCCAGGGCTGGAATCTGACCACTTACAAATATCATTTCCTAGGAATATTTCATAATATCATTAAGGTCACTGAGAAGTATGAAGTGTATGGTATGATATTAGCCTGGAGCTCTGGGTATCTCCTGCATCAGATATAAAGCTTTTTATTCCCACAACTTACAGAAATTAAGAGATAATGTCACTGTAATATAGTGTTGTCAGAGGATATTGGTTTCCTGCAGCTACATATCTGCAAAGACATTTTTAGGAAAATGAAATGTCAAGGAAAATGCAGATATTTATTATCCAAGAAAAAGCCTCTGATTTTCTGATAACATTCTGTTACCATGAGCTCAGAGAATAACTTGCTGTTGTGCCTCCAGTCACTATGGCTCTCGCTTTCTGCAGAGGAAAGCTGTGAGATATTTTCGAGTGTTAACAAATAAATTGTAATAATATTTGTTAAAACTCAGAGATGAATAACTGGTAGCCCCAGTAATAATGACACACTAACATTATACACTTCTAAAATCTGGTAGTACTATAAATCACAGTATAAGTCAAGACACATGAAAAGGAGTCAGCAAATTTTCCAAGCTTCAGACTTCTGACATCATTTAAGCCACAGATTGTTTAGCAGCTTTCAAACTTCTACTGGTACTGATGATCCCCTTTTTTTCAGTAAACACTCCAAAAATAGAAGGAGCTACGGAAGGACCACATAAGACTTCTTTTGAGAATGTTTTTTTAGTTTCCAGAACAGTGAAGGACTGCTCCCAATAACACATACTTGTACTCTGTCCAGACCACCTTTATATACAGTGTTCCTCAGGGGCAGCTAAATCACATTTGAAAGCTGATGACATCGTTCCCTCAATCGGCAGTCTAAATTTCCCCCTGTTAAAATTTAACCCAGTCTCGTGCTCGTATCTACACCAAATAATTCCTCAGGTCTCAAGTGCTCCCAACAGTTGGCCGAAGCCTCTCCTCATACTCTGTACCTTTACACGGGAGCCAGTCCTGCTCTTTAGTGGTTGTTGTTGTTAACATAATCTTTCCTAGCATTTCAGTGCTTTAGCCATTCACCATTTCTGTGAGTTTCCCCTGATATGCCGATACGCTTTCTGATGAAACGGTGCCCAGAAGCACGCGCTTTGAGATAAACCCTCTGCAGCACCTGGATCCTCGGGTAAAGCCCAGAGCCCAGGGCCCAGCTGAGGTCTAGGCTAAGTGATGGCAGCTGCTGTCATACACTAGGGACACCTGAAAATGCCTTGGCATTGTGTCCTCTGCCTCCTGTTACAAGAGGTGGTGGGGAACGGGCACCAGGCACCAGATCAGCGCTGCTCCGCAGCATCCTTTACTGTGGGGTGCACTTCAGCCCCTTTTTAAGCTACCTGAGAAGAGCAAAGCTACTAAACCGAGGCCAATGCTGTATGGACTTTCACTCATCCTGACCCCTCATCTCATGGGATAATTGTGAGTCACAGGGTTAGTAGTCACCTGCTGTGGGCCACGCCACCACACTGCCCAAAACAACGGTGTCCTTAGAGAAACTCATATCCTGATCGCTCCTGAGTGCTCCTTCCCCTCGGCTGGACTTTGCGTCCTGGATCCCACTGCAGTGTTGGGCTGTGCTACCCAAGAGGTAAAATGTGCAAGTCCCCCTGCTTCCCCAAGCCTCCCATCTCTTTTTTTTTTTTTTTTCCTTTGGACACTGGGCAAGCTGTTGGACATCCTTGCCGTGTCTGATCTTGCAAAGGTCGCTGTTTTTTTCAGATGGACTCCTGCGCTGGTCTGTGTCGCGGTCAGGTTCAGCCGCTCTTCACTCTAAACCCACAGGGAGCACTGAACCAGCAGCAGAGCTTTTACCTCTCATGGCCCAAATATCCCACCATGAACAAAGGAAAACACACCTTGTGCTCATGGGAAAGAAGAGCTAGCCCTGATGCTACCCTGCTAGTTTTGGTGTTCCCAAATAAACCAGGCACGTGATGTGTGTGAATTGATCGGCACGTGATGTGTGTGCCTACATTTCACTGTAGCAAATATCACTACCCATCTGTCAACAGTGGGTCCATATTTCCTATTCACCCATAGGGCTGTATTTTTCAAGATACTACTGTATTACCCCCCCCTTTCACCTTCTCTTTTACTGTCATATCTGCCTGCAATATTCTCCCAAATTCTACAGAGTACCACTGCCTGTCATTCAAATCCTTCCCAAGACTGACTGCTGTCATGTTACATATGTGAAAGGACTCCATAATAGATTTGTCTGGGAAACAGAATCATAGCACCATGAAAAAAAATTGGCATGTTTTCTTGATTTTTTTTTTTTTTGGTCTCAAATCAAAATCTCAGTAGCACACTGGAAATAGCAATTGCCTAGGTTCCTAAACTGAAATATATTCTCTGAGATCCCTGGACAGCTGCTTTTGGCAGGCTATTACAGGGCCAAGGCCTCTGGAAACCCTGGCAGCTGCTTTCTCAAAATGATATAATTCCTGACCGTTTCCCTGCTGCCCACCCCTGTAAAGCCAGGAACCTGACCAGGTCTCAGTGTTACACGGTGGCAAAGCCAAAAAATTACAGCCTTGCAATAGAGGACAAAAGGGGAGAGAGACCAAATCCATTTAAGTCCAGCTCTTTTCAATTATGAGAAGTCTGGTAATAAATACTTAGTGTAGAAGAGTCCACTGGACTCCACGGCCCGTACACACAGCAGACCACAAACCACCACCCTGTACCCTATGACTAAGATCTGCAGCAAGCAACCACAATCCAGAACACCTGTATTATCCTGTGCAAAGAGCACAGGATAGGTCCAGGACATCAGCAATTCTCTGGACCGGCAATAGCAGTGGATTTGGTGGGCCAACTGACAAACTGAAGAAGGCAGCAAAAAAAAAAAAAAAAAAAAAAAAAAGCCCCTGGTACTTCTTTCTTGATCCCTCCCGTTTGGTGTAGTTCTGAACATGGAGGCAAACCATTCCGCCTGAGAGATGTTCAGCACTGAGACCAGCACAATGCTTTCAGTATCCTGCAATAAGATAACCCCAATTATTCATAGAAAAGTCAAAATTTCTCCTTGAAAAAGACTTATACAATAAGAAGACAATGGAAAATCCTTTTTGTCCTCTGCAACTGATCAGTATAAGCCCTGAAACGTGGGATCAAGAACAGTAAAATTATAGTGTAATGAACAGTTAAAAATTGACTAAAGATGCCACTGGGTAAAGAGGCTTGGGCAGAGGATTCATCCCAGCTAACTTTAGATATCTACAGCTGGCTGTCTAAGTTCCTTGCACAGCCATGGAGAAAGAGGCACTCTCCGGGCCCGAGTCATCTGACCTATTTTAAATGCCTATCTCAGGACGAGATGAATTGAATTTTACAAGTGTCTATTTCTCCCTATTGACTCTAAAGAGAGTCTAGGAAACTGGTTCAGCTATGGATGCCTGCATTGCAGACATCTATATTTGGACAGATGAGTCTCACTGCCACAGACCTGTATCACAAGCTTCAGTGTCTACTGCCAGCAACATCCTTATACTGCCATACACTCCCTTCCCTAAAATTTACCCAGCTTTCTCTTTCTAGCAGTAGATTTGAGGGTTGCCAGGATCCCAGGCTCCATAACAACCAACGCTTTTAGCCTCCAGCAACCCAAGCAGCCTGGGAACTTGAGCTTCTGTGTGGTTCCCTGTCAGCTGCCTGGGAAGCTAAAATGGTCCAGGGACTCCCATGGGCTCTGGCTCCCAATCTTGGAGGCATCTGACTCGGGGACGTGCCACACTCAGGGGAGCTAATGATCAGGAAAGGCCTGGGAGAAGCTTATCAGAATTCCTTCTCTTCACAAACAGTTTTGATTTTCAATGATTTTTTTACTGCCGATGAAAATTTCCTGTCCAGCTCAGTCAATCATTCATTTAACAAAGATGCAGTGGCTGAAGCCAATGACCTGTGTATGTGGCTCCGATCAGTCATGACAGAACAACAGTAATGCTGATGTTATCTTTGCTTTCTCTCTTCCTTCTCCTGCCTTTTGCTTGTTCATGGCCCTCACTCCTGCAGCAGGAGATGAAAACTCCCTTTAATTCAGCCCCCCATTTCAACAGACATTGGATATAAGCCTCGGGTCTAAGCACTACACTTTACTTACAGCATCTTTAGTTTTCAGTGTACAGCTCGTTGCACTATTTGATCACTTGAGATAACAAACATTAATTTTTGCTGTTCAGGAATGAAGTTTTTGGAAGATTGCCCAGTTCAGCCACTAATTCCATTATATCTGTTGGTGGGTGGCGTGATTGGCAGCTTAAAGGTAATGTGCCTTCTGTGTGTGAAAAACATTTTGTGTGACTAGACTTTGACTTGCTAGTTAAGATGTAATGATGGGTGCAGACAGCTCTGTGCATGCAGTACTGAAGAGAGCTATCGGGATTGAACTGTGCTTGTTCCAGCACCTAAAGCACCCATCAGTCAAGTGAGACCCCAATGAGTTCAGCATTCAGCATTGTCCCACACACTGTGGTGTGACTTTCTCCTACATCACAGCATCTGTGCCCCCATCCCTACTGAGGGAAACGATTGCCTAACACGGATGCCTGTAGTAAGTGGGGCCCTATTTCCACAAGCAGTCGTCCAAGCCCGCCAGACCTTTCTCCTTTGTTTTCAGACACACGGGCTGGACAAAAAGTGAAGTTACTCTTCTAGTTTTGGGGGATGCTATAAAACCACAGGTGATTTTACATAGTCCTTCACAAGCCCGGTTTACTTCCACTCTCACCTGGCCAGAAGCAATGACTATGCAAAAGCACGGGTTCCTTCCAGAGCAAATACATCCTTGCACCACAGCAGGGCTTATTGATCTAGGCACAGTCTTTTCTAACCACAGCTACCTCTTCTAGCAGACTGTGCTCACTTACATCTTTGCTGAGCCAAAGCCTGGCTGCTTGACAAGTAGAGATACCCCCACACCCGTGTTACACCCTGATCACTATAACTCTGTGTGGCTCTAGGGTAAAGGATCGCCCCAACCTGCCAGTCCCTTTGCAGACGGTATTAACTGCCTGCTGGGGGGCACGAAGAGGCTCGCCAGAACAAACGGAAGAGCTACTTTAAGGCTTCTCAGCAGGATTAAGCAAAACTGTTCATTTGCAGTCCCAGTGACGTTCCTGCCAAAGGAAGAAAAAGGGGTGGAGCTGAAGGAAAAGCTTTGGAACCCCATCGCTGGGGCATGAGGGGCTAAGAACAGCAAGTGCTGCTGCTGGAAGGCAGGTCTGTCCTGGCAGCATTGGCTGTCCTGCACAGCTAGCGGGGGCAGCAGCAACCTGGCACCCAGCCTCCCCTCCTAGGAGCCCAGCACCGGCAGAACTGACAGGGTAGACCTGACAGGTTGTAGCCTAATATTTCAGTACAGGCAGGCCGTCCCTTGAGAGGAAACCTGCTAGTCCCCAACCTGAGAGCACTGCCTATTGCAGCCAGCAGATGCTGCAGACCGGAGCTAGCTGTGTTCCCCCTTTGGTCATGTTTCTAGCCCTTTTTCTTTGCCAGGATCGAAAGAAGGGGGAAAGAATATCCCTCTGCAGGTGTCTGCATCCCCTGAACTCTTGCACAGTGATAACCAAACTGGAATACACCACTGGGATATGAATCATCCCCCCGAAGACCTCTGGTCAGTCAATAAGTAAATGGAGAAAAACAGAAAGCGCTTAATCTTGTTATAAGGAATTTGCTATGCTATGAGTTCTACTGGCAAATGCTTAGTCATTTGTTCACACCGGTGGATTTATCTGTATAATCAAAGGTTCTTTTAATGATCGTTTAGAGAAGATTAGACAAGAATTGAAAGGAAATCTTCATGCTAATGAATCAAAGCCTTCATCAAAAATGTTGACTGTTTCTTAGCTATTTCTGGTTTTTCTCACCCTTAATAATATGGTAAGTGGGTCAGTTAATATTCCTGCTGACGTCAAATAATGGCTTGAATTTGGCTTCAGCTGACAGCAGGACTGCCTATTTTTCAGTCTGGCAATACATTTGGTCAGAATTTGACTGGCCTAACTCATGTGCCACCTCATAGTGCTTGATCTGCAGCCAAATTCCACCCGTCTCAACCCTGCCCCGTTATGTTCATCAGTCTGCACCATCTGCACTCAGCAGTACCTCTGCTTGACCTCTGTGATGCAAAAGGTCAGAGAAGGGGCACAGGATGAAGTCTGAATGAACGCTGTCCTGTGATGGACATCATTTAACGGCAAGTCATTGTGGCCCAGATCTGTGTAGATCTGTATGCCCCTCATCTGTTTCTTTACCACCTTCAGTCTTTAAAAGGCAATGGTAACCTACAGATGTTCACCAAGGCAACTGAGCCATTCTACAGCATCCGGAGAGGCCTGCTGAATTCACCTCATGCTGCTTTATAAATGTATATTCAGCAGTTATTAACAATGCGAGCAACTGCCAGAATTTGCTTCAATTACAGCTGGGCGAGGCAACATCCCTAAGAACTAGATGCACTTTCCATGAGCTGGTTAGATGCAGTTGAGATCCATACATTCGACTGGGAGGCTTCTCTGACTTCCTAAACACCAATGCTCACCTGCCATTCCACCCCATTCCCACTTCTGAGCTTCTTGAAGCTTGAACACAGTCAGCTGCCTATGTGCTGAGCTCACCTCAAAGCTGCAGAACTGCACAGAGCTTCCCGTCCAGCCGCAGGCCCCCATGCAGAAACCTCAGACCCACTGGCCAGGGAGGTTTATTCCTCCTGTGTTTCACGAGCCTGCTTAACATAGATGATCACCTGCGAAGATGATGCTCTGCTGGTTTGAACAAGCCTACCAGTTTGAGTATTCAGCTGGCTGTGAGACATCCAGTGGAAGCATCATTTTTTTTTTGCCTATGTTGGTGCTGGGACTTTAATCTCTGTTTCTCACAAACCGGTACCAACATCTGGGCTAGAAAAACAGCAGGCTTTGTGAACAAATATTTAATTGCTTATACATAATTGAACAGTTTTACAGGGAAGAGCAAGAGAATCCTCTTCCCAGGATGTCCTGGATCCTCTTGGTGAGCCTTGCCTCTAGAAAACGGGGTACCTGAACTAAAATCTGAACCAGGCAGAGCATATACCCATACGGGTTTTCCTTAGCCAGTGTTCTCACCATTAATCACTGACTAATGGAGAAGAGAGAGTGTAAAACAATGGGTGCTCTCCTCTCATTTCAAGCAGAAAAATGAGCACAGAATGTAAATTTGGGAAAGAGAACATGGCAGAGAACCCCTGCTCGGACAGTATGTCCCTCCCCATAGCCACTTATAAATCCACAGCTTTTGCCTGTCCCTCTGAATTTCATTCCTGGTTGGCCAACACAGTTTTCACAACTTTTGGCCCAAATCCTTCTTAGGCCCTGTACGTACCTCTCCTATAAATTTACCAAAATTAAGTCATTTAGGGGACAAAAATTTGAAAGCTTCTCTACATTGCAGCCAACCTACCTACAGACTTTGTATTGCCAAGGCTAAACTAGAAATCTTTTCAGCACTGCTGATGAGTCCTACTACTGCATTTCCCTGTAGACCAGACCTTCCTAACCTCATGGTACCACGGTATTCTACCTATTTCTTTGCCAGTTCTGACTGAAGGCAGGAATGGAGCAATCTATCTGAGAATATTATGCTTAACTGAAGAAAACTTGACAGAATCATTCCAAGTACCTGAAGCAATTTATTTGGGGTTTAGGTCAAAGTCTAGAGCCTTCATGATTTTATTTAAGCTGATTCACCTACACAGCCATGGAAAATAGAGTTAGGAGAGACAAATCCACCCACTACAAAGCAGGAACTACTCCACTTAAGTCATTTAGCAGTTACACTCATCTGTTCTTAAAAGTCTCCAGTGTGGGAGCTGCTGTGATCTCCCTACACAATCTGTTCTCATGCCTTTCCATTCTTACCATTGTCAAGTTTTTTCCAATGTCTGGCCTAAATCTCACCGGTGAATAAACAGTAGGGAAAAATTGCATTATGTTCCAGCAGGATCTGGGTCCTTTGTAGCTCCTCATCCTTCTCTTACATGATTTTCCCACACCTAGTTTTAATTTGGCCCAAAGGCTGGCAGTGGCCAGAACATGTTCAGACTTTCTGCAGCCAATTTACTTATTCCCTTTTCTCCCCCAATGCCTCCAGGTGACTCTCCTGCTGTACGACTCAACAAGGATGAGGCAGCTGCTTTCCAAGTCTGTTGTGATCGATGATGATGATGATGACGAATATCCCTGGAGGCAGAATGCTCACAAGTACTACATCCATCTAACCCTCAGCCTTTTCCTCTTTCTCTGGTTCATTCTTGGGAACTACTGGGTTTTTTCTGTGTATCTGCCAAATTTCATCCCACCCTTCCATCAGCCTCAGGATTACTGTGACAAAACCTTGTACATTTTTGCTGTTGGTGTTCTCATTATTAGCCATACTGTTCTCTTTCTTCTTGTCTTTTGTAGCTGCTGCATATATTGTTTTTCCAGGCAAAGGTACTCTTCTGAGGAAGACTAAATGCCACATAAATAAAGCCCCAGATATTTGGGAAAGAGTGTACAACAAAGAACAGGCAATAATTCACCCTTGTGTACACCTCTGTTGTGCTATATATATGTATGATAGCAGCCAACTGCAGGAGGAAATTGTAAAATACAGTGACATCTGGCAATAGCTAGGTTGGAATACAGCACAGTCAATGTAAAATTGCTGCTACAGATGCCAGGGTGCACTCTTGCTAACTTATACATCCTTTTTTTAACTCTTGGACATTCTGCCTGGAGTAAGCTCTTGCAGTCAGCGAACTCCTCTAAAACCAGGTCCCCTCATGTTGTTTCAGCACAGTACATCTCTGCCTACAAAAGTAGCCATGTCGGCTTCTTCACTGGGATCTGAACACCTCCGTAGCCTTGCTGAGGTATGTTACTGTCCCTGCATTATAGATGAGGGAGCTGAAACAAAGAGATAAAGGGCTCTATTCAGACCACCTTGCACGGCGCGCAGACTTTGACAGTAACTTAGATGCTTACTAGGAAGCTGATCAGGCCACTGCTAGACCAGCCAGCAAGTAGCTGTGATAGCAATACAAGCATGTAAAACAGGCAGCCTGAATACGGCCCCCAGGTCTCTCCTGAACTTGGATTAGAAAGCATTGATATCTGACTTTGGTGCTAAAACAGATAGTCTGAATATATCCATTATATCCAATACATCCAAACTCCGCCAAGGCCACTTTGCAAGTCCTTGGCAGAACAAGGAACTGAGCTATCAAGTACCAGATCAGTGCTTTAACCAGGGCATGGCATTCCCTAATCTGAGGAGACTCCTCTTCTCCACTTTTTGTATAGCAGTAATTTGTCAGTACCACACCAACACAAAGATGGTTGTCAAACCATTGTGATCAAGTTCATAGAAAAAGCGATGACGTTATGTTGGTGTTTTAAATATAAAATATAGTAAGACATGGGCAGGGATGTGGGAATTTCAGACGGATGTGTTCACTACAGCAGTTCCCTGGTTGTGGTGTGAGTGTACATTTGATTTATTCACCCTGGTGCTGTACATATGGAAACCTATACTTAATGGACAGGTGTAACACAAACAGCTTCTAAGCGAACAGCAGTGTCAGCTTTAAAAGCACCAGCATGGCCAGATACAATTGTTTTGTGACATGTAATGGAACAAGCCTATAACTAGTCCCGGTAGACTGTTTTTTTTCATGTGTTGATGAATGCAGTGTAAAAGTGCTCTTTCTGCTTTCACTTTAATGCATTTCTGTTAATACAGTCAAAATGGACGGGCTCCCCTCTATACAAGCTTGAGGGTGGCCCCAGGCACAGGAAGAGGATGTGTGTTTTGGATATTTTTTCTATTAAAACCCAAGCAGCCGAAACCTATGCTTTAGAGAAACCTAAAAGAGTTGCACAATACCTGTGGAAGAGTGAGATCTGTAAAAGAACCTTGATATGCCCCAGGTGAGCAGGCTCTGTTCAACCATCCTTCCTGGGACTGAGGCTGATGACAGTGTAACACCCGTGGGAACCACCCATCTTCAAACACCAACATTTACCTCGTGGGCTGTTGTACAGATAACTAAGGGTGCATTTGGTCCATAAGGACTTTAATTCAGGCCCTGGCTTTAAGAATCGTTTATTTTCAGAAAACTAATCTTAGAAAGAAAGTAGGATAAAGGGTGAAGGAATCTGACAAGAGGGCAGCATCAGTGTAGCATTCCCCAGCTCTGCAGCAGCCACCCAGAAGTCACAGGCAGGCTGCCCTTCCTCAGAAATCCATGGAATGGGAATTACTGACACTGCTGGCTGACTTCGGCCGTACACGGTTTTATGTAGGGAGATATGGTCAATGGAAATCTTTCCTTTCATTTGTGGGCCTCAGGTTGTGTCTGGGAGAAATCACAGGCTGTGTTTGCCCAAGAGCTGCTCCACCCCACACTCTCCACTGCCCCTCTAAAGGTACTACACATTTCTGAAACATAACTGCTGCCAATGGTGGAATGCTAAAATTCCTCCTTCCCACACCAAATACTTCACTGGCTCAGCACTTGGGCTCCTGGATTTCAGTGATCAGTTCTGAACTGATCTAAGTGTTTTTACCTTCAGTGGAGAGCATCTTTCATTCATTAAGATGCCAAAGTGTTTAAGAAATTGCCTATCAGCAGGCATAACTCCATCCATCACTCAAATGCAGCAAAGCAGCTGTTTGTCATTACAGATGAACTTTACTCAAAAGCTTGGAACAGGCATAAAAAAGAAAATCATACTCAGTTGATAATGCAAAAGAAATTTAACAAGAAAGTAGCTACAAACTCTCCACCCACAGGACTCCAGTACAAACTTCCCTGTTCTTGCAAAACACTGCTAGAATCATTCTTGGACACAAATAATTAAGGGCTCATACTCCTGATTAAGTCTGAATCGATTCCCACGTCACCGTGCATCCAGTGACCTTGCGGCAAGTGATGATGTGCGCACTCCTATCTGAACAAATATGACACGATTTCAGTTCAGCCCGGAGGGGATGTAAGCTAAGTCACATTGCCTTGCATTTTCTGTGTGCCTGTGTGAGTATAGTTGCAAGAGCTCAGCAGATGCGCAACGATTTATCAAACTTCAGCCACACAGTGGTAAGTCCGAGGCCTAGGTCTCATTCACAGCAGGCTAAGACTGACTGATTCTCTACAGTCTACCATGGAGGCTTAATGCCTTTTTCTTTAAAGGTAGTATTTACCTTTACTTGTGTACATCAATAAGCTATGGCACATGCAGGTGTGAACATCAACACCTCCAAAATTGTTGGAGCCATCAATTCTGTATCCAGAGAGATCTGAGCATGCCTTCTGCACTTTTCACTGCTGCTGCCTCCTTCAGCAAGCTGGAGTCACGCAGGTGTGGAGCAGGGACACCTGGTTTTGGGCATATGATTAAATACAACTGAGTTACAGTGACTTATTAAGTTACCACTCTTCTCCTGGCCCACCGTTATCAGCATGGTTGCTCCAACAGCTAAATAAAGCACTCGGCTTAAACCCAGATGAAAGTAGTTTAATTGAAGGCACCTCACCTCACTTTGGACTAAGCTGGGAGCACGTGAATGGTCCAGAGCACCTGAACTTGCAAGCAGCAACTTTTTAAATTCCCACAAACTGATATTGTCCCAGACATATGCTCAATCCCTGTAGAAGTAGGCACATTTCCTCAGCAAACAGCCATGGGGGAAATAAGTCATTACAGCCCAAAGGTCAAATGGCTGAAAATACAATCTAGACCTCGGTATGAAAATGTTTAATATTTGCCACTAGACTAAAATTACAAATCGAAAATGGTCTTTTTTTTCTTTTTTTTCCCCCCCACATTAATATAAATGTCTTCTGGAAATTGAACAAATTACACCCTTAAGGTAATTATTATGAATTCAAAAATGTGTTGACTACAATGCAGGAAACCAGCTGCAACTGTTCCAATTAAATAGTCTACCCTTCTTGAGAAACAAAGGTCTATTTATAGCTTTTAAAGGAAAAAATATACATTATTTCAATGGGTTAGATGGCCTGCTCACTGCTAGTTGTGGGTATGACAGAAATCTAATAATATAAATACACAAAGACATTTCTGCATGCACACACAGACTCTGGACATATATATATCATAAATGCAATGGTAGCAGACATGAAATAAATCATACTTATTACAGTTTATTGCCCACAGTATATTCCCCCTCCCACTACTCCACCTTCTTTAGCAATGAGCATAATATTTCAAACCTCTAGGGAACAGCTTCCCACAGCTATTTTAAAAGCTGCAGCCAGACAGGCAAATGCTTTGTTCCTTCATTCCAAATGTTGAACACAGACAGCTCCTACCTGCTGACCCAAAGAAGAGAGGACAGATGAGCATCAGACACATCACAGACCTCATCTCCTCGGGAGCAGAAACGGGAACGTTGTGCTACTGGAGAAGAGAAGTAGGTTTCTCTCACACAGCACTTGTTCTGAGCTTTATGAGGTCCCAAGACATCAGACTTTAAAACTACAAGGTGACTGTGCAGAAAAAAAATAAAGAAGCAGAAGCTATCGTAGGTTATGTCAAGATCTGTTTTCAATGTCTCAGATTCTGAAATGTGAACAGTTGGTATAAATGAGCCTAAATGCTTTGACTTGACAGGCAAAGGGCTACAAAGATTAAGCCGGTGACAACTTGAATACATTGCACATCACTCCAAACTAGATCAGTTTCTGTAAGTTATCTTGAATCTCATCTCTGATTATTCCTCTTCTGTAGATTCTAGTTGATAGGGCTTCTCATCATCATTACGACCCCTGTACGTTCTACATATAATACAGAAAGGATTGTTAAACCAGGATTATAATCTGAAATTGTTGCTTCTTGGTTTATGTTTCTTGAGGTTCCTGTTCACTACTGGAGTACATGAAAGTCCCACAGGTTCTAGTCATAAGAGGAAAAAGAAAACGTTTTTAGAAAGTGTAGTATTTTGAGGGAAAATAAAAAAGGCTTGCAAGTGCCATCTGATATTGCACAGTACAAGAAAACAAAGTACAAAAACTGCTAAAAGGAACAATGTTATATTGCAAGAACAGGTTTCTGAGAAAATTTTATGAAGTTCTGAGAAATCACATATACCTGTTTGTAACACTGAATTTCTACCAAATGTCTCATTTGAATGAAAACGCGGGGAGGAGGCTATTACCAGTGTAAGTGCATGAGCCTATGTGATCAGTTTAAAGACTAAGGTATTTTACGTTTACTAGTCATGCTAATTATAACCAACCCTGCTCCAATTTCACTGAGATGATTAGTTATAGCAGCAACTGATTTCACCCACAGATTTGAATCTAAGCCATACTGACTCTTCTGTAAGATCATTAATACTCAAGCAAAGGGGGAATCTGTGATACCTTTCCCGGTGCTGCAGTATAGCAGCTCAAACGTGAGAGATGCTCTGAGATGCAAACTGTGGGCCTTTTTTAACAAGGTCCATGTGAGATAGGTACCTGCATATCTTATGGATTTAATTCTCAGTCCTTTGGATAAAAATATTTAGCCTTTCGGTATCAAACTAGTACACAGAGTGCAAAGAGTAGAGAAAAAAAATCTGCTATGCATACTTATTCACAAGTTACTATAGACAACGCTTTTTTATTATCATTGTTCATTTTTGCTCTTTGTATTGCTATTCTACTTCTACATGGATGTCACATTACTAGCTCATAAATTCTATTTATTTTCAGAATATATTAGAAAAAGAGTTGCTCCGTTATTTTTAATGGACTTCTGAAATATTTGTCTAACAACAAGTGAAATAAGACTTTTAATAAACAGGTCTGGTGGTTATTTGCAGGGGAGGGTTTGGCTCATAGATTTACATGGATGAACTTTACATATCCCTGTGAGTTCTTTTAGCACAGCACAGGGATTGCTCACAGACACAAAG